AGAGGTCAGGTGAGGAGAGGTCAGATTGGATGAGGTCAGGTGAGGCAAGCTCAGGTGAGGCGAGGTCAGGTGAGGTCAGGTGAGGCAAAGGTCAGGTGAGGCAAAGGTCAGGTGAGGCGAGGTCAGGTGAGGCGAGGTCAGGTGAGGCGAGTGCAGGCTGGGTGAGGTCAGATCAAATGAGTTCAGGTCAGGTGAGGCGAGGTCAGGTCAAGATCAGGTCAAGATCAGGTCAAGATCAGAAGTATCCAAGGTCTAACTTACGCTGAGGAGCTGGGTAATGGTGGTGCTGCTGTGGATTGTTGTGGGCTGTGGGCCAGAGCCCAGATCCTTCACCCCTGTTTATCACAACCCCGGGGCCTACAGGGCAGCCCAGGTCTGACCGCAGAGACAGCGGGGGGTCCTGCAGCTGGACATCCATGTCCTTCCGAGGCTGGGACCCGTAGCCGGTGTCTTCACTGGGGAGGTCCAGCTGTCTGCTCAGCAGAGACGGCCTGGCACTCTCTCTGGAGTCAGAACCGACTTCGCTCTCGAAGTCCTTTTCTGTGGGCAGCTGGCGTCTCTTGACGGCGGGGCAGGGCCCGACTTCTGAAGAGCCCGGCTGCTGTAAACAGGTATTGGTCGGCTTTGCGGGTCCTCTTGGCGCCTGTGTAATTTCGAACCGGCGCATTTCTGGGGACGAATCGGCCCAGCTGCCTGCTGGGAAGGGACTTTTTCCAGGACTCTGCCCTGTATCCTCCTCAGAAGCGCCCGTTTGGTGTTTCTTCTCCTGGAAATAGTTTCTGCCACTTAAGCTGTCTTGTACACCGGACCTGCACAGTGCCACTTCGTTCACCGTCACCTCCGGCTGTCCAGAGCAGACTCCCGCTGTCCCACAGGGCTGGTCTTTACACTTCGCCAGCACGTCCAAGAATACCATGGACTCGTCCGTCTCCACGGGAATGCTTCTGAGAGGACGAAAGTCTTCAGATAAAGACAACAAAACAATTAGGGTCTGACCCCCGAGAAAGAAATCCTTCAAAGCAAAAAAACAATTTGTCTTACAGTGTACTCTCCCCCTACTTATCCCAGTGTCACTTATCTGTTGACATTTATGCTCTGTTTTCAGACACAAGGAAGACAGAGTGTAAAAAGAGTTCCAGTAGGGAGCTGCGTCAGCAGGCGTAGGCTGGAAGGGAACAGGTAAAGGTTTGTTCCCTGCAGAATAGAGAAGAAAAGAATTTCCCGAAGAAGGCTCCACAGCGAAACGTTGTGTTTCCTTTCTTCTCTTTTCGGTATGGAATGAACCTTTTGCTTGCTTCTTTGCAGGACGTTAACATTATCACTGGAACGTGCTCCTTTCCTGTTTCTCAAACAAACTAATACTTCTACAGGTCTATTCGGAGAGCTAATCTAGTTTCTTTTCAAGACAAATTCTGACTCAGAATCTAAGTGTCAGAACTGATGATTAAATCATATTAGACTAGAGTAGAACATATAACAATTCCATGATTATAATGATGCAGAAATCACAGAACCACATGATTCTCGTTGAATAATATCACCGGCATTGTTTTATTAAATGAACTTGTTAGTTCACTTTTTTTAATGTAAAGCCTTGTGTCAAATACGTTTGGATCTTACCTATGAATGACTCCATTGTCCTTGTAACCAGCTGAAATTTCTTACATAACGTCTTGTGCTGAGAAGATAAACGATGAAGAGAAGAATGTATTGCACACGATTCGAACAAGAAAATAAATGAACGAGCCTACTACAGCTGTCAATTGAACAAAAATTAAAACTAGTTACTATGGCATCATATTTACAGCAGGCTAAGGGGATACATATGTACAGTATAAGTTGGTGAAGAGTGTACATCTTGAAAGAGTGTCTCCAGCACTGAGAGAGAGACATCAGGCAAGATGGCTACAACACATTCATGTTACTGAGACGAAAAGAACACAGAGAAATACAGTGACCTGCATCAGAGAGAGCTGAGAGATCATCACAGAACTTTTTTTCCAACCCTTGTGTGCGGTAGTGAAAGCAAGCCCCCATTTTGGGTCAGGGCTACGCCAAAGGGCCTGGGTTTTGAGCCAAGATGGAGACTTCCTCGAAAAGCCACTTGTCACACTATGCTTTTGCGCAAACCGAAGACTTTCCAGCCTACGTGGGCAAAGGGTAGACACCAGTGATACAAACGGACCTGTGGGATCACAGTTCATATATAGACAGTAACAGTTTACACTCCACTGGAGAGAACAAATGTTTTTGTGTCTCAGTAAAACATAAGCACCCGAAAAGCAGCGAGTAATAGTACAATTTAGGCAATAGCGATCTGAATTTAGATTATCAGATTTCTGGGTTGCAATGCCGTGCAACACTGTGCATCTTTACCAGCAGCTGAGCCACCCTGTCATATATTTTGATATAATAAACAATATCTTATTTGTATGGTCAATCCAAATAATTGAGAAAAAAGGACAAATGTTTTTAAAAGAATAGGCGAAGGTACGTCTACGTGACAGTGTTTTGAAACTAGTTTATTTCATTATTTGTATTACTGAACAGATGGGTTTTTTTTTTAAAGAAATCAAACCATCTAAAAAAGTCAAAGGGATCTACACCCTCATGTACATACATGTACAGTAGGCATGAGTGCAGGGAACGTGGCGATCATCTTGAAATTAACACCAAACACTGACTCATGTACAGTACCAATGTTTAACACCGGTCCAGTTCGTCATTAACCACCTTACCACCTCATTCAGCGACGAGCTGGCTAATTTAAGTGATTAAACACTATTTGCAAAAAAAAATTAACGGTAAACACTACCACAAAGTTGAACATGAACTGAGTTAAAAAAAAAACAGCTTTTTGATTTACTGTTGATGACTGGACTTTTCCGAATTTCCTTGTCTTTTTTCATCCTGATCTGACAAGAAGGCTTTCAAAGTCAAAATGAACATATATTCCCACGTTCAGCTTAATCGCACTAACTGCACCAGTTCGCCTTTTCTTTTACACAACAGGTTTCGGTCTGAATGCTTAAAATAATCAATACAGGAAAGTGTTTTGTATTAAAAGCATCCGGAGATCAATATTCCTACCTCCCCAACAGCGGCGGCAGAGGACTGACTGTGGGCGTAGAAGGAAACGCGCAGGTAGCTGTCCTGCTGGGAACCCGCGGCTCTTTCTTCACAAGGAA